CAGCCTCCCAAGTAGCTGGGATTACAGGCGTCCACCACCACACCCAGCTAATTTTTGTATTTTTTGTAGAGACAGAGTTTCACCCTTTTGGCCAGACTGGTCTTGAACTCCTGACCTCAGGTGATCTGCCCTCCTGGGCCTCCCAAAGTGCTGGGATTACAGGTGTGAGCCACCACATATGGCTCATTCTGATTTTTGATACTTCGAAATCAGAATGAGCGATTTTTCTCTTTGAAAGTGTTTAGGATCTTCTCTGCACCCAGTTTCTGACATTTCAGTGCCACACCTTAACCTTTAGCTGGGTGTGTTTTCATTCATTGTATTGAACACAGTAGGCCTTTGCAATCAGGAAATTTATGTTCTTCAGTCCTGTAATGTTTTCCTGAAAAGTTTCTCGACTCAGTTCCTTCCCTACATTTTTTCTGTTCTCTCTTTCCGGTGTTCTGTGATTCCAAAGTTGACTTCCTGGAGAAGACTTTATCATTTTTTTCCCCTCTGTTTTCCACTTCTCTGTCTCCCCTGAGAGCCACTGTCTCAACTTTTTGTTCTACTCCCTCAATTGAGCCACTTTTGCTATCATGTTTTAAAACTTTGTTCCCCAATTTGCATCTGTTTTTGTTTCATGTTTACAATATAATCTCTTGGCCAGATGTAGTGGCTCATGCCTATAATCCCAGCACTTTGGGAGGCTGAGACAGGCAAATCGCTTGAGTCCGAGAGTTTCAGACCAGTCTGGGCAACATACCAAGGCACTGTCTCAACAACTACAAAAAAATTAGCCAGGCGTGGTGGTGCATGCCTGTGATCCCAGGTACTTGGGAGGCTGAGATGGAAGGATCACATGAGTCCAGGAGGTTGAGACTGCTATGAACCATGATCGTGTCAGCGTACTCCAGCCTGGGCGACAGAGCGAGATTCTGTCTCAAAAAGATAATAAAAATACAGTATAATTTCTTTTTATGAGAGAGAGAGAGAAAAGGGTCTTTCTCTGTCACCCAGGCTGAAGTGTAGTGGTGCAATTACGACTTACTGCAGCCTTCACCTCCCAGGCCCAAGCGGTCCTCCTACCTCAACCTCCCGAGTAGCTGGGACCACAAGTGCGTGCCACCACACCCGGCTAATTTTTATTTTAATTTTTGTAGAGACAGGGTTTCGCCATGTTGCCCAGGCTAGTCTCAGAATTTGGCCTCAAATAACCTGACTGCCTTGGCTTCCCAAAGTGCAGGGATTACAGGCATGAGCCACTGTGCCTGGCAATTTGTTATTATTCTAAGAATATTAATGGCAGACCTTTTTGTTTTGGTTTGTATTTACCCTTTTTTTCTCTTTGAATGGTTTCCATTCCCCCAAGTCACTTTTTCTGGTTTGCTTAGGTTTCTGTCTTCCACATGAGAGTCTTTCTTCCAGTGCCCTGCTGCTCCTCACTTACCTGGTCATGCATGAGAATCTCCAAGCCCATGAGTGGGGCTTGTTGACTCGGAGTTATTTTATTTTCCAGAGATACTCTACAATCTCCGAGTGGATTTCTTGTTTCAAGGGTTAGGGTCTAGTTGCCTGGAGCTATATAGTTACTTATAATTCCCTTAAGGAATATATCCAAGGCTTCAGATGTGCTAGTCAGCAGCCCCCCTCTCTTCAAGCCCCTTCCTCTTCTACCGTCTTTCTGAGAGACTCTCCAGCCTTCTGTCAGAGTGAGTGAGTTGGTCATCAAGCTGGGTGTCGTTGAAGAGGATGTCCAGGGGGCTCCACTGCTTCTCAAACAGCTTCTCCCAAGCCTTCCTTGTTTTGCACACCCCTTCTAGACCTCAGTTCCAGCACCACATGGTGCAGCAGGCTCCAGAGACTTCTGAGGACCCTCAGGTGTAACTGACAAGCTCTCGGATTTCTCCACTGCAGACTTGGGAATTGTGGCCTTGTATCAGCTAAATCACCTATCTTTCATCCATCAGCTTTCCCACTTCTAAAATCTGTTTCTGTCATCTTCTCTGTTGCTTTTCTTCATTCTCAAGGATTTGTCTTTTTTTTAAATATATATACGGTCATGCACCACATAACAATGTTTTGGTCAATGGCAGACCGTATATGTGGCGGTGGTCTTCTAAGATTATAATGGAGCTGAAACCTTTCTGTCACCTAGTGACATTGTAGCTGTAGTGATGTTGTAGCACAATGCACTGCTCACGTGTTTGTGGCAATGCCAGTATCAACAAACCTCCTGCACTGCCCGCCGTATAAGTTAAACACATATAATTATGTATAGCACATAGTACATAGTACTTGATAATGGCAATACATAACTACATTGCTGATTTGTGTATGTACTATACTATACTTTATCATTATTTTAGAGTATACTCCTCTACTTATTAAAAAAAGTTAACTGTAAAACAGCCACAGATAGGTTCTTCATGAGGGATTATAGGAGAAGGCATTGTTATCTTAGGAGATGACAGCTCCATGTATCATGTATGTTACTGCCCCTGAAGACCTTCCAATGGGACAAGCTGTGGAGGTGAAAGACAGTGAGATTGATGATCCTGGCCCTGTATAGGCCTGGGCTAATGTGTGTGTTTGTGTCTTTTTTTTTTTTTT